AAAAAAAAAGGAAGCCTTCCCGCCTCCTGCTGTTCCACGAGGCTCGTTCCCGTCCCGTTCGATTCTCCCTCGTGCACCTCCGTTGACCTGTTGCGACCGGAGTTTGATTCCTCCCTATCGACAATCGTCGAGGGGACACACGCATGCACAGTGCGTCCTGTGGGCGCACCGTCCAGAGTCCCTAAATCCACAGGGTGTACCCAGACGCACTGCCTGTCATCCCCTCTAGACTTACTTGATGCCCCCGGGCACACTCTGAGGACAACAGGATTTTCACCAATAACTCAAGCTGAAGCAGGGCCTTGCGATGCCTTTCAAAGTGGATCGTGCAGGTCTTTCGAGGTGGGGACTTTCATAAGCCAACAGCCGCGTCAATTCCTAGCGTCATCTTCCCAGCCCAGTAAGGCGATCTCGACTTGGGCAAGGAGCCGCACATGAGCCCCAACTCCGCTCGATCTTGAAGCCTTCTGCTGCGAAGCTAGCCTGCGCAGACGATTCACCGATTCTGTATAAAGGGCCACGGGATCAGCTTGCGCTATCCTCTCTCCGAGCCACCGATCGATCTTGCCATATCGATAAAGGCCCTTTCATTTCGGACGCTTCCTGCCACCATGCAGATCGGCGACACCGCCTTTGGACAACTTGCGCGTGCGTTGAGCCGGGGCAGGTTCTTTCCGCACCCCGAGACCGTCTCTGGCCATCCTCTCGACCACGATGCCCCCCTAGAGCAAGGGGGTTCCAACACACCTGACAAAGAAAGTCCATCGGCCACAGGTTCCAACGAACATGTTGTCTCGCTCGAGCATGGCGGATCCAGCACGCCTGACTGGCTCCATTGGGCTGGAGTCTGGGGCTCGCGTTCAGACATCACCCCTTCCACCTCGGCCTCCGATGTTCACGGTTCTCGCAAGAGCACCTCGGACGATAACCCCGACTCTGACAACCGGGTGGGCTGGTACGGCGAAGCGGATCCCGCCAATCCGCAGAACTGGCGGTCTTCGCAAAAAGCCTTCGTGGCCGGCATCATCTGCATATACACCTTTGGGGTCTATCTCGGTTCGGCGATCTACACTCCATCGATGTACGGCGTGATGCAGCAGTTCAACGTGTCGTACGCGGCTGCCAACCTTGGACTAGCCCTGTTTGTGTTCGGCTACGGTGCGGGTGCAATGATCTTTTCGCCGCTCTCCGAGATTCCCTCTTTAGGACGCAACTGGATCTACATCATCACTTTCACCATCTATCTGGCGCTCACGATCGGCACTGCTGCCGCGCCCAACTTTGGCTCGCTCATCACGCTGAGGTTCCTCGCTGGATTCTTCGGATCGCCTGCGTTGGCGACAGGAGGCGCGACGCTTCAAGACATGTACAGCATCGTCAAGCTTCCGTACGGCATTGCGCTCTGGGTGGCTGCCGCGGGCATGGGACCAGCATTCGGACCGATCACAGGCTTTGCCATGGAGGCCAAGACGTGGCGCTGGCCTCTTTGGATCCAGGTGTGGCTGTGCGCTCCTGTGCTCATCCTCATGTTCTTTGCCATGCCCGAGACCAGCGCTCAGAACATCCTTTACCGTCGTGCCAAGAGGCTCCGCGCCGCGACGCAGTGGAAGGAGCTACGCTCTCATGCCGAGGTCGAGCAGCAGACGCTCTCGCTGCGAAAGATCGTGGTCGAGTCGCTTGTACGGCCGATCCAGATCTCGATTCTGGATCCAGGCACGGGATTCATGAACATCTATGTTTCTCTGGTGTATGCCATATACTACTCATTCTTCGAATCCTTTCCGCTGGTGTACCCGCCACTGTACGGCTTCGGCTTGGGAGCCATCGGGCTCACCTTCCTTAGTGTAGTGGTGACCACCGGCCTAGGAGCGGGGGCCTACACGATCTACGTTTATTACTACGTCGAGGCCAAGATTCGTCGCACGGGTGAGCTGCCCTCGCTCGAATCGCGCCTGATCCCTGCGATCCCTGCGAGCGTGCTCATGCCCATCGGCCTGTTCCTCTTCGCGTGGACTTCGCGCGAATCGATACACTGGATGGTGGGCCTGATCGGCGTGGCCATCTACGGCCTAGCGTTCTACGTGTTGGTGCAGTGCGTGCTGCTGTACGTCAACATCATGTACCCCAAGTACTCGGCTTCGTTGCTGGCCGCCAACGACTTTTGCCGTTCGTCGTTGGCAACTGCCTTCATCATGGCCGGACGTCCTCTCTTCACGCATCTCGGCATTGGCGGTGGAGTGTCGCTCATTGCCGGACTCGCGTGTGTCTGCGTGCCGCTGCTTCTGCTCCTGTATCGATTCGGTCCTTACCTTAGGAGCAAGTCCAAGTTCGCAGGCATGTCCGATAGTTCCATCCCTGTCGCTTCCAAGGCATAGAGCAGCACGAATACCCTGCTTCATTTTTGCAAAGCCTTTATCTATGATAACAATGCCTGTTCATTATGCAAGCCGGCGGGACTGTCGGAGGACCGTGCAGATCAGATAAGGTGGGAAAATGTGGGCAAAAATGGGGGAAACGAAAATCGTGCAGAACGTGGCCGCCGAAAGTGGAGCTGCGAAGGGTTGATGAGCCCGTATGTTTGTCCACGTTCCGGCGCTGCGGATCGACAGTTGCCTGTCACGGCATCCGGGCTTGACAAAGGAGGTACTGTAAGGTGGCAGACTGTGCCTGGGTGTAACCAACGTGGGCCGCCACCGACCTCATGCTTTCGCCGTCGCCGGCACAGTTCGAACGGCCAAGCCACCGTCGACTTTTCTTCTGTCTGCGCATTGCGCATTTGCGCACCCGATCCCGCAAACCGCCGGCGCAACGCATCGAGAGCCGCCGTTCCAAATTCAGCCTCGCTTAGTCGAGCCGCATGGATGGTGGGTGTACCCCGCCGGTCACCAGCGGCCATGGCATCGTTTCTTCTGCAGGCGAGCTGGCCTGTGCCCTCCAAAGTTCTTCTTCGCCCTACAAGTGCATGGCAAAAACGGTGTGGCGCGCATCGATATATAGAAAGCACTTTCTTCCTCTCCCGAACTGGTTCGTGCAACCATCTTGCTTTCTCCAACGCTCCCCCTCGTCCCCACTCTGCCTCTTCTAGACATGCAGTTCGCCCCCACTTTCTTGGCCCTGCAGGCCGTGGTGGCTACTGCCGTCTCGGCTGCACTGGTGCCTCGCCAGACGGCATCCAACTCGTCGGCGCCCACCTCGATCAGTCCCGACAACCCGTTCCCCACCAATGTTGGCTATGCTGGCACCGTCAAGACCGGCGCACCCCCCTTCCTGGCCGTGACCGACCGCATCCAGGGTGAGCTCAAGGACAGCCCGATCGAGACCCGCTGGAAGCCCATCGATGCTGGCGACAACGACAGCTACAACATCTTCCAGCATCTGGGCAACGAGTCGCCCTACTTTTCCTCGCCGCTCTTCGCCGACTTCCAGAAGGAGAACGCTGTGCTTCCAGACACGTGCACCGTGAAGCAGGTGCACATCCTTCACCGCCACGGTGCGCGCTACCCGACCTCGTACGCCACCGAGGGAGCGCCGTACTTTGGCCAGGTCATCGCCAACGTCTCCAAGCTCAACCACCCCGACTCCAACTTCTCGGCATCGGGTCCGCTCTCCTTCCTCAACAACTGGACTTATGAGCTCGGCGCGGAGCTGCTCAACCCTGTCGGTACGCAGCAGCTGTTTGATTCGGGCGTCAAGCACTACTACCGCTATGGCAAGCTCTACAACGCCACGGACGAGGAGCACAAGCCCGTCATCCGCACCACGAGCCAGCAGCGCATCCTCGACTCGGCACGCTACTGGACGCTGGGCTTCTTTGGCTGGGATGCTCCCAACAAGATCAACCTCGAGGTGATCCTCGAGGGCGGAAGCGGTCTTGGACCTGCCGATGCGTTCAACAACACGCTCGCCTCGTACGACACGTGCAACAACTCGGACACGATCACCGTGGGCGACACGTACCTGCGACCGACGTGGGATGCCATCTACCTGCCCAACGCCACGCAGCGTCTGCAGCAGTACGTTTCGGGACTCGAGCTCAAGGACGAGATGGTGTACGGCATGCAGAGTCTGTGCGCCTACGAGACGGTTGCGCTCGGCTACTCGAACTTCTGCGGTCTCTTCACCAAGCAGGAGTGGGACGGCTTCGAGTACGACCTGGATCTGCAGTTTAGCGGTGACTACGGCATCATGAGCCCGAACGGCAAGGCGCAGGGTATCGGCTGGGTGAACGAGTTCCTCGACCGCCTCACCAACACCACCTTCAACGCAAGCACCATTACCACCGAAAACAGCACGCTCGACTCCAACCCGACCTACTTCCCGCTCGACCAGAGCATGTACGTCGACTTTTCGCACGACGACATCATCGTCTCGGTGCTCACCGCGCTCAACTACACGCAGGTGATTGGCGACTTCCTCGACCCCACTTACGCCGATCCCGAGCGCACGTTTGTGCTCAGCCACATCACGCCCTTTGCCGCCCGGCTTGTGTTCGAGGTGGTGGAGTGCGGTGATGACCAGCAGCAGTACGTGCGAACGCTGCTCAACGAGGCCGTCATCCCATACACCGAGGCGCAGGGCTGCCCGCAAGGCAAGGCGCTCTGCCCCATGGCCGACTTTGTCAAGTTCCAGCAGACGCACGCCTACAAGGACGCCAACTTCAACAAGGCCTGCTTCGGCCAGAACGGCACCGACTTTGTCGTCACCGGCCCCGTGCGCAACGGCACTGTCTACTAGAGGTCTTTTTGCGGCGATCCGCGTGTTCCAATGCACCTAGACCATAGAAATCTTGCCCCGAAGACCTTCCTCTGCAGTGGGTGCGCGTGTGATGGATGTGACGTGATTGTGAGCACGGCTGGTAGTCACTGGGCTAGGTGCGGACAGATATTTCCGCACGCTGCACCTGTGCTGCTGGGCGGCCAAAAAGGCCGAAATGTGGAGAAGCCGACTTATTCGCGGGGGGCGCATGAAGCTCGCAGGGTCCACCAGGCTCCAGGCTCCACTGCAAGCGCTTGCCCGACATCATATCCCAACGAACCGGCTTCTTCGGGCCACCCATCTAGCCGGACATCACCTGTTGAGTAGCCGCTTGCACTGGAGCCGAAACACAGCTAGCCGCATATTCGGTGAGATAGATAAAGCCCCGATTTCAGCGCCGCCTCGCTTCGCCGCCCTCTCACACCACCATACGCAGACACTGAGCCAGGAGAACACGATAATGACGAGTGCAAACAAGGTGGCTGCCAAACAGCCGCAGCGAGAGGACAAGAGCAGCCCTCGGAAGGGAAGGCAAGATCTGCTCGTACCCGAGTTTACGCCGCATGCGCCCGTGAAGCGTTTGGGCGAGGACCTGCTGCATGGCCCGCGTCTGGAAGAGCACATTGTCATCGTGCTCGGCGTCGGACCTGGACTAGGCCTGTCCATCGCTCAGACTTTTGCCAAGCGCGGCTATACGACGGCGATTCTTTCGCGCAGCAAGGGTCGTCTGGACGGCTGGGCCGATGCCTTGCACGACGAGGCACGCGCCTTCCGCCAGTCGCACGATCTGCCGCTCGGTGCAGAGGGTGAGCGGCTATCGGCAGCCTTTGCGTGCGATGCGCTGGACAACGCTTCGATTCGCCAAACCATCGATGAGATCTGCGCCTTCTGGCCAGGCAAGAAGGTGGGCACGGCGTGCTACAATGCATCGATCCGAAAGAGAGGGCCGTTCCTCGAACAGCGGCTCGAACAGATCCAGGAGGGCGTCCAGGGCTCCATCCTCGCCGGCTTCACATTTGCCCAGGCGGTGATTGCCAAGATGGAAGCGCACGGTGAGGGCGGCAGCCTCCTCGTTACGGGGGCCACCTCGTCCACGCGTGGCAGAGAGGGCTTTGCCGGTTTCGCCGCAAGCAGTAAGTAGAGCCACAGTGCAGATCCTGGCCTGCCTAGCACACAAGCTGACCAACCCGTCTTTCCTTGCCCCACAGAGTCTGGCCTTCGAGCGTTGTGTCAGGTACGTCGCCGCGCTCCACTTCCCTTTGCTCCGGAACGTTTGACTGACCCTTCGGTGGCTTTTGTGTGTGTGTGGTTCGCAGTCGGTGGCGCGCGAGTATGGGCCCAAGTCGGTGCACGTGGCGCACGTCATCGTCGACGGCCTCATCGAGTCCGACACGGCGCTCGACTTCCTCGGCATGCCCAAAGGCAGCCGCTTCCCCGACGGCTCGGTACGTCGCCATCGCCCAAATCTGTCGTCCCCGGTGCTAGAACAGCTGACTGACCTTGCATCGTCTCATCTCGTTCTCACCCACAGGCTCTGCTGCCTCCTCAGATGGCCAAGGCCTGGCTCTTTCTCGCCCAACAGCACCCATCTTGCTGGACCTTCGAGATGGATCTCCGCCCAGCCCGTGAACATTGGTAGTTTCGTTCGTCTCAACAAGCACGGCACATACGCAATGAAAGTAAAGTGTTGAAAACGCTTATATTTTTAGAGTGTGACGGGACGACGACGCAGAGACAAGCGACGCCATCCTGACACGAAGGGGTTTGAGTGTGATTGTTGTAGGCCGATGTTGGGGGTGCCAATGAAAATTTCGTGCCGGAGCGGATCGTATGAATCCAAACGGAGACGCAGTCGCAGGAGGGACTATGGTGGTCAAGATGCGATGATGAATGTAAGTCACTGGTCGAAGCAGGCTTGCAAGCTGGCAAAGAGAGCCGCGACGTACCATCCTGAAGCTGACGAGCGTATGAACCAGACGAGGTTGGACCGGACCGACGTTGCACTAGTTCTCGTCGGCGTGTAAACCGGTCCGCCTCAAGCTAGTGGGGCGAACTGTTTACTTGGATCGGGCGCGCATCTTTCTGCGCTTACGACGAAGTCGGCGCATACGCTTCTTCCTCCACTTGGCTCGCATGTTGACAAAGCTGTTCAGATAGAAGGATGCAGGGAGGTGCGATGTGTGAGCTGAGGCTGCTCTCTGGAACTGTGCGTGTGCATGGCTGATGCGCAATTGCTTTCCTGGAGATCGAGAGCTGCAATGACAAGGTGCCGAGGTCGGAATGCCAAGCTGCAGCGACGTGAACCGGGGCCTGCGCGATGTCGGCTGCTATGCCATCGTTGCGATGTCGGTGCGATGCTGTTGCATCGATCTCCAGGACCGGCGTTGGCGAGTGCTACCTACCTGACTTGATCAAATGAGAGCTGGTTGGTGGGAGAGAAGAAGGTAGCGCAATCGCCCGGGCGAGCTTTGTAGCCCTCTGTCTCTCTCTCTCTTGCTCCACCTTGCCCGCGCCCGCTCCACCTGACGTATTTTAGGCGCAGCACTGCGGTACTGCCTCTGTCTGCGGCGGCGGCCCCCCTGCCCTTGTGACCGGGCCACTTGACCCGTGTCTGGGTCTGCAGATGGGTGGCCCGATCACCTCGCAGACAGGGCAAATATGGTCATGTGACTTTTGATAGCTCGGCCGAGCTTCATCATCGCGATCCATTGTTCATCGGGAGAAGGGCCTCGACAAAATCGGAAAGATGCCTATGTGAGGGCCACACCGGTGTAACATTGCAAAGCCTGCCGAAACTCGCAGAGAGCTTCCCTTCCTCGTCAAGCATGGAGTGCGCTCTGATCTGCCGATCCTCGGCGCAGAGGGTGGACCCTGCTTTCCCGAAGCGGCAATAGCATCTCTATGAGAGAACCATTGACAGTGGCAAAAGGTGGAAACGCCTCGAGCTGCCTTCACATCGCTGATAGAAGATGCTTCTGGCGTACACTTGCCTCACGGCCCGCAATTTTGCGGTCTGACGGTGAGTTGGTGACGGACGTGCGCCTGTTTTTGATGGCAAAGCAGTCGCAGATGCTGCGTGCCCAGATAGTCCGTGGAGATTGCTAGCGCCTGCCGTAGACAACGAGGGAAAGCAGAGGCAGATTGGGCAGTCCAGAACGTGCACAGACGAGGCTTGGGAGCAGGATGCATGAGAAGGGATATAAAGTACAATGGTGGGGAGACTTAGCCAGGTGAATGGTCTGGACTTACACGCAGCTTGCTCGCGGAATTCGCTTGAGAAGCTGCCCCTACGAGTCAAGACATGGTGCCAGTGGGATTCCATCGGGATGGACTGCAGAAGGCGCTCATTGCCGAGCATTGCGACAGGAGAGATGCCGGGCGGTAAGGGAGCGCAGCCAATGCAATCACTCGGTAACAATGAGCTCGCTGACTGTCCAGTCCTCGTAGCTTCCGTCTGGGAGGTATCTCCTCACGACGAGGGGAATCTTCTTGGCAGCGAGCTCCTTCATGGCGATCTCGAGCGGGTCAGTCTCGCCCTCGGTGGGCACGAGAACAGGCGCGTTCATTCTGTCGCATGCAAATGACGGAAGTTTCAGGGTCCAAGGTCAGCACTTCTGCGGGTAGGCTCAATCAGCAGGACACAGACTTCTCCCACGTCGCGACGAGGCCAGGGTGCAGACACTTACGAGATCTGGAGGGCGCGTGTGCCGAGAATCCTGGCACGCTCGTACTTGGTCATATACGGGGTGGTGATGCGGTCCTGGTTGGCTTGTCCAGCCATGGAGGTCGATGGGTCGCCACCCGCGGAGGAATGTACGATACCATTTGCGGCAGCGTCACCCGCATCGTCGTACTGGTCGTCTCCGAGGTCGTCACCGTCGTAGACCGGCTCCTCCTCCTCGTAGAAGCTGTGATAACACGAAAGGCACGATTTGACAGGCGGAAGGTTAGTCTGCTGCCGTGCGAAGATGCCCTTGGACGTCAGAGCCATTTTGCCCTACGACGCGGGATACTCACGTCTCCTCTCCACCGTCCTCGCGATCCGACATTATGTAGGTGGCCTATAAGGGGTCTGAGCGGACAGGTAGTGATTCGTTCGAGCCAGACGCGCTTCTTGAAGCGGCAATCGAAGACTACACGGGGTATTCGTACCGCCTGTCGATAGTAGAGCTGCACAAGATAAGGATGCAGGCCGATGAGGGATGCTCGATGAACGACGTCTAAGGGTTGTTGGCGCAGACGAGAGGTTTGGATGCGATCAACACCATCGAGGAAGAAACCGAGTCGAACCAGCCGTGCCGACATCCGAAATTTTGAACGTGTGGAGAAGCTCCCAAATCTTGAAATTCGTCGGTCTCTAGAATCGGGAGATGGATCGGGGAACACTTCGCTCCAACCCCGCTTCGCTCTCGTATGGACCCGCGCACAGCACACAGGCACTGTGTCACCGTGGGTTCATAGTGTCGTCCGGCAGACCCAATGACCAGTGCGGCAGAATCCCGTTCATGCGCAACGGCAGATCGTCGACGGCTCTTCCGAGTCTCGCCTGCTCGAGACGGGCGCGGCATTGGAATAGCCGACAGGGGCTCTCCTCTCCGCTCACGCAAATAGGCAGGACGCAAGGAAAGCTGCCGAGACTGACACTTTTGACTGCGCGTCGAGAAAGTGGCGCAAAGACACAGACGGACCCTTTGGCGCCCTTTTTTGGGTTTTGACTCGGCGAGTGCCGCGCTCGTCGGAAGTGCGTGGACGCGCTGGCATCCAACACTCTCATCCGGCGGAGCTTGGAAGAGTGGATTCTACACTCGCCAGCCGCTGTCGGGGTCGCCTGTCGGATGGCTCGCCGACATCTGGGAGTGCTGAGAGAGCAGCGCAAAGCAAGACCATCTGCAGGCACACGCGCGCCCAAGGAGCAGGCGAGGGCAGACATCCCTCGTGAGCAGGACAATGGCGGCGCGCCTCCTCATGCACGTCTGCACTCACGCATGCACCGTCCATACAGAACTTTGCAGCTCCTCCTCGCTGGCGGCGCTGCTCTCCCAACGAGAGCCACTTTGGACCCCGTCTGAACTGCGTTGAGGCACACTCTCGCTGCCCACCCCTGCATCGACGACGCATCCCACCACCTTCGAACCCATCATCATCGCTTCCATCTAAAAGCACACCTCCAACCCACCGCTGCTAGCTGCCGCCATCGTGGTCCAGCCTAGAGACAAGGATACCCTCGACCCTAGATACCCGCGCGCACGCACGCCGTCTCCTTGACACACCATGAGCCAGTACTACCGCCAGGGAGGCCATCCCAATCCCTACGACCCATACGCTGATCCTCAGCATCAGCACCAGTATTCCGAACATGCACCATCCGCGGGCGCATACAGCTCGGAACCTTACCACTCGCAGCAAGCCTACCACTCGCAGCAATCCTACGATGCCGCACAGCCCGAATACCAGGCAGCGCCCATCAAGCCTCAGAGGTAAGTTGGCGCATCCCTTTGTCCGGAGCGGCAGACTTCATTTCGGCCCGGTCGCCACCAAACTTTACGCATCCGTGCGCTGACTCTGTTCGCTCGCTCGCTCTTGCTCGTCCCCTTTGTTCATGCCTTTCCTCAGGCAACCCTCTCGTTTGAGATCCAACTCGTCCAGCAGCCGTTCGGCTACCCATGCGCCTGCCGCGTACCCTGACGAGGTGCCTCCCGTCCCTTCCAACCTCTCGGCAGCCCGACAGCGCTCCGGCCCCTCCAACAACCAAGCCGCATCGGCCGCGCCCTATCACCAAGACGCATTCTCTCGACCCTCGTACCAGTCCAACCGCAACGGCCCCATCGACCATCCCAGGCAGTGGGACCCCAACGCCTCGTACGACGCCGCTCCCGCCACTCCCCTCTACGACCCCGCCCCGCTCCCTGGTACAGCGCAGCTGCATCCGGACCCTTCGCAGCATAGCATCGACCTGGGCTCGCAAGACCCACACTACGATGAGCGAGCCATGCAGCAGCACTACCCATACGGCGGAGCTGCTGCCTTTGATCGTTCCAACAGCTACAACCAATCTCGTTCCGGCGGCGCCAGCAGCTACCAACAGGTCGACGACGAGAAGAGCATCTACTCCAAGAACAGCACACAGCTCCCTGGCGGTTGGAACGGCGCACCTCCCTCCATGTCGTACAACGACATGCCAGGCTCCCACTCCATGGTTCATCTCGCACAGCCAGGCTATCCGCCTACACCCTACGGCGAGTATGGCGCGCATCCCCCAGCCATGCCCGAGGCACACGTCACCATGGGCGGCCTCGGCGTGCCCGGCGCTGTGATCGCTTCGGCACCCATGCACTCCAGCCAGCACCAGGATTCGAGCTTCCAGCGCGAGAATCGCGATCGCATCATGCGCAAGCGAACCGTCAAGCGCATCCCTCTCCAGGACGGCAACCTCGTCCTCGACATCCCCGTCGCAAAGAGCATCAGCAAGTCCGACTCCAACAACCCCGAGTTCCGCGAGATGCGCTACCAGGCTTGCACCTCGGATCCCGACACCTTCATCGACGACAAGTACACCCTTCGTCCCTGGCTCTACGGCCGCGAGACAGAGATGGCCATCGTGCTCACGTGCTACAACGAAGACGACGTCCTCTTCGCCCGGACCATGGGCGGTGTCATCAAGAACATCGCCCATCTCTGCAGCCGCACCCGGTCCAAGACCTGGGGTCCCGATGCGTGGAAGAAGGTGGTGGTCATCATCGTCGCCGACGGCCGCAAAAAGGCCAACGAGCGCATGCTCAAAGCGCTCGGCCTCATGGGTTGCTTCAACGAGGGCGTCATGAAGGACCACGTCCTCAAGAAGCCCGTCGAGGCGCACATCTTCGAGTACACCACACGCGTGCAGGTCACCGAGAAGGGCGAGGTCCAGGTGACGCCTTGCCCGATCCAGGTGGTCTTCTGCCTCAAGGAGCAGAACAAGAAGAAGCTCAACAGTCATCGTTGGTACTTTAACGCTTTCTGCCGCATGCTCCAGCCCAACGTCTGCATCCTGCTCGATGTGGGTACCAAGCCCACCGGCACCTCCATCTACGAGCTCTGGAAGAGCTTCGACAAGCATCCACGCGTCGGTGGCGCGTGCGGTGAGATCTGCGTCGACACTGGCCGTGGCTGCGTCTCGCTCTTCAACCCGCTCGTGGCCTCGCAAAACTTCGAGTACAAGATGTCCAACATCCTGGACAAGCCCACCGAGTCCGTCTTTGGCTTCATCTCGGTGCTTCCCGGTGCCTTCTCAGCTTACCGCTACAAGGCGCTCCAAGGCCGTCCGCTCCAGATGTACTTCAAGGGCGAGAAGCTGCACTCGGGCGAGGGCGGCAACTCGATCTTCTCCGGCAACATGTACCTCGCCGAGGACCGCATCCTGTGCTTTGAGCTCGTCACCAAGGAACGCGAAGGCTGGCTCCTTCGCTACGTCAAGTCGGCCAAAGCCTACACGGACGTGCCGGACAAGGTGCCCGAGTTCATCTCGCAGCGACGACGTTGGCTCAACGGATCGCTCTTTGCGTCCTACTATGCCACCTGGCACTGGTACCGCATCTTCCAGTCCGGCCAGCCTTTCCTACGCAAGCTTTGGCTGCTCTTCCAGGTGATCTACAACCTCGTCCTGCTCGTCTTCAGCTGGTTCGGCATCGCCAACTTCTTCCTCGCCTTCTACTTTTTGCTCAACTCGGCCACCAGCACCGAGGGCAAGGATCCGTTCGGTGGGCAGGGCGCCGCCATCATCGAGATCTTCCAAAACGTCTTTATCGCCATGATCATCGTGGTGCTCGTCTGTTCGCTCGGCAACCGGCCACAGGGATCCAACTTTGCTTACACGTCGGCCATCGTCATCTTTGCGCTCATCATGGGACTGGTGCTGTATGCCGCTGGCTACACGACGTATCTGGCGCTCGACGCTTCCGGGCTGACGCACGCGAGCGGATGGAGCATCAAAAACCTGGAGCAGCTCTTCAAGACGTCGGGCTTCCGCGACATTGTGATCTCGCTGGCGGCGACGTATGTGATGTGGCTCGTGTGCTCGATCCTGCACTTTGAGCCGTGGCACATGCTGACGTCATTTGTGCAGTATCTGTTCCTGACGCCGACGTACATCATCATCCTGTCCATGTACTCGATGTGCAACACCAACGACCTCTCGTGGGGCACCAAGCAGTCCAACGGCCCGGCCACCGACCTGGGCGGTGCGACCGGCGCCGGCTTCAAAAAGGACGACAAGGGCCAGATGGTGGAGGTCAAGATCCCCACCTCGGCCGACGACGCCGAGGAGCTCTGGTCGCACTACCGCCAGACGCTTTCACAGCCTACCGCGGAGGTCAAGCAGAAGCGAGACCAGGCGACGCGCCAGGAGGACCACGCCAAGAACTTCCGTACCAACCTGGTGCTGGTGTGGATGTGCACGAACGCATTGGTGGTCATCATCTTTACGAGCACGTGGTGGAACCGTTACGTCCGCAACCACCTCTACGCCGGCGCCGCACGCAAAGGCCAGCCCATCGTCAATCCGTACCAGTCGTTCATCTTTTGGGCGACCGCAGGTCTTTCGGCGATCCGCTTTGTCGGCAGTATCGGCTTCCTCATCCTGCGCATGTTCGGTCACTAGAGCAAACCACGGTGTCACGTACCGCTGCGCTCCATTTGCTTTCTCTCTTTGTGCTGCAGTCAAAACATACGCTCCTTTAGATTCGTATTCCACTTTGAACAATGCCACGTCTGACATCACTAAGTTATGCGCGACGGTTGATCCAGCTCGATAGTAGTTGGCAGGAAGAGGATGTGAGAATTAGAGGCTTGCCTTCTCCGCGAGGTGGTCTGCGATTGTGGAGCCCTGATACGGCACGGGCTTGTTGACTTCGCGCCACTGCGACTCGGCCTGTGAACCGGGAGCAGGATAGTCGTGCCCGCTGAGTCGCCAAAGGTCTGCTGCGGGCTCTTCGATGTGGATCTGAGTGGAGAATGCCCGGGTCAAGATGAAATCGAGTGAGCGTGAGAAGTCTGAATTCTGAAAGAGGGAGGACTGTCGTTCAATCAGGCCAGTGTAGCTTACCTCCCATTCGCAATTCTTTGCTTCCAAGACGGCTCTGAAGCGGTCTTCGAGCGATCGGATGGTGCGCGTGCGTCTCTCCTTGCCCTCGGCAGTGCGGGCGAGGTGCTGGCTGACGATGCGCACGAACGGCTTGCCTTGCTCGCTTGCACGCTCCGAATGGCTCTGCTTGCCAATGTAGAAGTCGTCGTCGTCGATCGGACAGAAGAGGGTGATCACGAGGAAAGCCGGAAGCCCTACACTGATGCTGACAATTTTTGACGCCGTCAGATGGCCGCCTCTTCATCTAACTTGGTTCGGCACGCGCAACTCACTACATGCTGGCGATGCTGTCCACCAGCGCTCGCTTCTCATCCTTGGTGAAGAATCCCGGGGGAGTGTAGATGCGGTGGAGCGGCATGGCGAGTCTAGACAGAGAGGTCGAAAGGGTGTGGGTCGATACAGGCAGTTCTTCGTCTCAGGACGGACGGCGCTTCTTATAAGATGTTGACTCCGAGTTGCGCCAAAGGTCAGTCAGTGTCTGTGCCGGAGTGCAACTTCATGCGTGCGCATCAGCCGAACAGGACAGCTACTGCCTGTTTGTGGTGCAACCCACGCCAGGGTCCAGTTGGGACGGCAGCATGCAGCATGCCCCGCACAGCCGGAATTCCGCTCGGACTCCGGTTGCCTGCCACGCGGAGATTGACCTATTCTCGGCGTTCCAGCTGATTCCGGCTTGACGGATCGCCGTCATGACCGAGTGATCGTGCAGCTCGCAGCGAGCTCGCAGCGAGCTCACATCGAGCCCGCCCCGAGCGCTTTCAGCCTCAACGTCGTGCGGGTTGGGCATCCACGTGCCTTTTGGGGCTTCACAATGGCATGAAACGCTTCAGTTTCGCGCGGTCACGTCAGGTCGAATCCGCTCCTTTTTGGTCTCCAACCGATTTGCCGATCTGACCTGAAAATATTGCCTTTTATTTTTGTTAGATCATGACCTGAGGGCTGGGGCGTCTCTCCGCGGCGTCGGCTTTATCTTGGCGCCAGGCAGCTCGGAAATAAGTCGAACCAGGCGCAACTGCGCAGCTACATTTTTCGGCTAGCTTCGCAGTCTTGACAGCTGCAGCTCCACATCCGACCTGCCGTCCGGCAAGCTCGAATCAGGCGGTGGCCACCGTTGGAGATGCGGCTCCCAGTGCTCCTTCTTTGTCACTTGCGCGTGCTAGCAGCTCCGCGAGTGTGTGCCTTCGGCTCGGATTGGCCGCTTCCCGACGTCGCAGCCGGCACGCCAAGCCGAGGACCGTGGGAAGCCGCGTCAGCTGCTTGTAATCAGGGAGGCGAGCGAGCAGCTGTCCTTGTGGCTTCCGATCCGCTCTTCATTCGGCTGGATCCCGACGCTTCTTTGAAAGTGACCGACTGCCGACCCTGGATTCTGGACGCTGCTTCAGGTTTTGCGACGCGCGGCTCACCTTCGATGTTGGTGCTGCCGCCCCGTTTGTTCCCTTCCACGATCACGTCGCCCCTGTCGGCATCCTTCCGAACAGCATGGCCGTCACCACAGCAGCAGGCGCTGCTAACAAGCCGCGCTCGATGAATCGATCCTGCATACAATGCCGCGAGCGCAAGATCAAATGCGACCGTCTCGACCCTTGCAGCCAGTGCACCTCCAAAGGCGCCACCGATCAATGCAGACGAGAGCTTCGCAAAAAGAGGGCCAAGAACAAGCGCCCCTTCCCCAAGCGCAAGACCCGCACCGCCACAGCATCCACGCTCTCCGACTCCACCGTCGCCCGCTCCGAGCCCACATCGAATACGAGTAATCCTGGCGTCGAGCCCACATCCTGGGCCGACGGCTCCATGGGCTCTGCATCGCATCACTGCGACACCTGCCGCACGCCGTCCTCTACCTCGGGCAAAGCTAGCACGCCCAACACTTCCTCGTCTGCTCACGATTTGAGCTACTTTGGAACGCAGGACAAGCACACCTCAGTCTCATCGAACCGATTCCCTCCGTCTTCAGCTCCAAGGCAGCAGCAGCATGCATCGCTCCCTCCCGGCTTCGACCAGAGCTCCAGCGGATCCGACGAATCCGACGAATCCTACGATGACGAAGATGACGATGACGCCGAGCCGTCTTCGCGTCTCGACGATCGTCTCCACATCCTCGAAGCTAATCAGCTCATGGCGCTCAACACAGCTCCCGAAGCCAGGTGTCCCTTTGCTCTCAAAGACGTCTACGCAGACTGGAAGGCCATGCCCATCGACAAACGCCGTGGCCTTATTCACGACATTCGTTCAGCACTACCTACCGCGGAGCAGTCTTTGCACCTCTTGCACAGCGTCTACGTCAAGCGCATCCACTCCCTCTATGGCAACATTGTACACGTCCCAAGCGTTCACCTCATCCTTACTGAGCTCCTCACTGATCCCGACTTCGAGCTGCGTGAGCGCTATGCGATGGGCCCCATCACCACCGCGCTTATGGTCATCTTCGCCGCCCTTCGCGCCGCTCCGCTCGACCGCAACTACACCTGGCCGGCACCTGGAAGCAGCGGCACGCACATTCAACCGCTCAGCCAGAAGGAAATCCGCCAACGCCAAAAAAAGATCTACATTCTCGTCAGACGCATCCAGGCGTTCGAGTCAAACTTCACTTTTGGCAGCATCTCCGAACTCCAGACTGCCGTCCTCATGCTCGCCTGCGGCAAGGGCTCGCCGTCGTTCTTCGACTCGCTCGCCGACTGCGCCACCCGTTCGGCCATGCGCATGCGCATCCATCGTCTCGGCTCCCTTGAAAAGATGCACAGTCCGCACGCTCGCCCCAGTCAGGTCGTCACCGGTGAAATGGCCGTCCGCTGCTGGTGGGCTCTCGTCCGCCGCGACTGGTCGCAGAGCAGCAAGCATCGCTCGTATCGCATCGCACCCTCGCAGTTCAACACACGCCTGCCGCTCAACCTGTTCGACGACGAGCTCATCACCATCCCGGTGGCCCGTTCCCATCTTCGCTCCACTTGGACCCCCGTAAGCTACTCGCTAGCCATCATCGACTTTGCCATCATGACCCGCTCCCTCGTCGATCACGTCAACTCGCACTCCGATCTCGACGATGCTCCCGCCACCGTCGATGGTTGGGGCCTTGCCGCCGTGTATGGACAGCGCCTACCGGCTGCACAGCGCGATTCGCTCGACCAGCTCTTTCAGTCGCTCATCTCGGCCTTTCCCGCACACTATTCGCTCGATGCGCGCTACGATGACATCGCCATGGTCGATGTCGAGCGCTGGCTCCTCCACCAACGCCTCTTCCATCTCTTCCTCACGCTCCACATGCCGCTCATCTCTGAGGCTGGGCGTCCTCACGGTAGCCTCATGTACATGGCGAACCATATCCTCGACATCCAGGACAAGGTCTCGGGCATTTGCACGCTCCTCGACAATACTCGGGTCAACACGCTCCAGATGATGCGTGCATGCCTGGTGCTTCTGCTCGATCTCTTCTTCACCGAGGCGCCGGCAAGCATTGGCGGTCTGTCGCGCCTCATGACGCGCAGAAAGATCATCGCTGCGCTCGAAAGGACCCCGATGGAGACGCTCTCTAGCACCACCAAGCTGAGCATTCAGCTGGTACAGATCCTTTTGCTCATCGAAGAGCAGCAGCACCGCTCGCAGACGGCGCTCGATGCCTCGACAGCAGAGTCCCCACCACTCAATGCCACGGCACAAGAGGCCAGCGTCGGGCCGGCCGTCGACGCCGCTACCCTGCGCAGTCGATGGCACGCCACGTGCCAGATTCTTGACGTACTGCTCAACGACGGGTATTGGCGCTCCTTCCGAAAGAATCTTTTGTCTCTCGACCACCTCATTCCAGACTGGCTCCAGCGGCCGTTACGGGAGGGCGCGGGAACGATGTCTCAGAATACGCCCGCCAAGGTGCAGGTCCTGCCACCAACGGTGGGGCCTCCCGCTGCATCCACAATCGTCAACAACGCCGCTCCCGAACCGAGCTTTCCGGCGCAAATCGAGCGAGCCTTCGACGCAGGCAACGCCGACGCCATCCTTGGACCAATCCATGACGCCGGCCTTCTCATTCCTTTCGACGCCTCGATTTTCGATGACCTGGAGACTGCCGATCTTGTCACGACCGACACCTCGTCTCCCTTGCCGCAGCTCGACGTAGACCTGCTCGGTCAGCTCGATTTTGAGGGCTACGGCAACTCGAGCCAGTCGCTCGACTTTGCCAAGATGCTCATGGACTGGCGCGTCGACGTACCTCTAGCTTTGTGATCCCCTTTCGTGTCTTTCAGTCCTGTTGTTGTCCCCGCAAAGCATCCGCATTCAACTCTGTAAGTTATCTTCTTGTCCCGCATCGATCTGAAATCACCACACTTGTCGGGCTTGCCCCCTCGAATGTGCCTGCGAGAGCGGAGTCAGAGCGTGGCAGCTTGCCGTGAACTCATGCAGACCACACAAACACGATCCAGGCACTCGGCATGGCAGAAAGGAACGCGTCACCAGTAGCAGTACAGGGGTGGCTGGGGCAAAGACAATCACTTGGACTTGGCAGCCGAAGAGCCGTTGACGGCCCTCCACTGGGTGCGTGCGCCCATGACGGAGGAGGCGCAACCTGCGAGGCCGAGAATGCCTTCGTCGAGGCCGAGGATGTCGGCGCCCGTGGCGGGGATGAGCCAGTCGAGGGCGTCCTGCGTCATCTGGTAGCGCACAGCGGCCTGCTCGGTCGAGATCTGGGCGAGCTCGATCTTGCGGTCCGCCTCCTTCTCGGCGGTGGCGCGGGGGCGCTTGGCGCTCGCGGCGCGCTGCTGCAGCACATAGGTCTTGTAGCTGCCCGAGGCGAGCGAGAAGGTGAGACCGAGCAGCCAGAAGCGAGCTGCGTTTTTCGAGATCTTGTCCGCGGTCGCCTTTTCGAACGTGTAGACCTTGGCACCGTGGATCTGAGATTTTGAGACGGGTCAGCAGGGCGAAAGGTCAAAAGATGCACAGAGACGGGAGCAAGGGAGCGGCTGCAAAGCATATACATACCCATTGGAGCGTGTCGAGGATGAGGTAGAAGCCGTAGCCAAGCTGACGGCCGATGGCGGCGTACGAGACCACAGGGTCCTGAATGGTGGTCGCCTTGAGCGCAGCCTGGAAGTGCTCGAGGAACTTGCCGACGCGCATCACTGATAAGGAGGCAAGGGCATCCAAAGGTGGTCAGGAGCGGTTCGGCACTGCACAACATACAATCTGTCGAACTTACGCTTTCGGCTGAGACCGAGCTGGGACTTGAGTGCGGTAAGGCGGGCAACGGTCTCCTTGGTGGCACCCTTGCGGTATTCGTACCAAGCGAGGAATCGGGCAGCATACTGGATGGTACGGTAGGTCTTGTCCCTGCCGACGGTGGTGGACCAGAATCGCAGCAGCTGCGAGAGGTAAGGGTGGAAGATGATTTGCTGGAGCGCAGACATGATGGCGGGTGCGGTTCCGATGGTGGTTGGGCGTCAAGAAGCCGGCAGGAGAGCAACGACGGCCGAGTCGAGGATGAGCGGGGACCGTGCCTCTCATTCTGCGCAAAGTCGGCTGTGGGGTCCGGCTGCCGAGCAGCTTCTCCGCGCAAGTCGCATTTCACACTCAAATTCCGTGAATCCCCCTCCGTCTCGGCCGTCTTCCGCGTCCGGGCCATTTTCGACTCGCGTCAACCGGAGCAAGCCGAGTCCCATTCATTCTGCTCATGCGCGCTTTGCAGACAATTGAATGACATTCTGGATTTCAAAGCGTTCGAGAATCGCCCCTGCTGTAGCGGCAAAGACGGCTGTCGCCACGAGACACTATGGACATCCATCGAGGAGAAAATTCCGTGCCGCCTGTCGGTCTGTCGTCTTGGATGTGACATTCGTCTGGATTCGTTCAGCGGGAGACAAAGGCTCCGATGCCATTATGAGATCGTTTCACCTCGGTAAACGTGCCGTACCAGATTGACGCTTTGATTGCTCGGATAGCCTAGGGTATAGGAACGAAGATCGAAACTGTGAAACTGGCGACGCATCAGCTACTTGGCTAGCCAGCTAGAAAACCTGTCTCTGCTGGCTCCCTTCGCTGGCATCTTCACACAGCTGGGATGAGTCACCCTGCTGCTCGCCGTCTCCATCCTTGTGCGTCTCTTGCACGGAGATCTGCAGATCGGGGCAAGACTTTTGAAGCTCTTCGAGCTTGGCAAGGAGGGTGGGAGAGTCGATTTGCGGAGCAGCCATGAGGTCATCGAGGCTCGCTTTGATGGAAGCGCCCAGCTTCTCTGGCCAGTCATACTTCTCGAGCCTCTCGAGAAGCGCAGAGAGGTCGACGTCCAAGTCGTCTCCCTTGTCCATCTTCAGAGGGGCGTCATTTGCGCAAAGAAGAGTTAAGCAGTCCGGCGTCTGGACACCAGTAAGGTCGTGGAAGCCAACAAACTTACGACTTCGACAACGACCTTGTCCATTTTGAACGTGCAACGGTTAGTTCAGTGATCCGACTGTTGAGCGACGTGTGTGTGAGGCGAAAGAGAGGGGAGCAAGGCTATCTAGCACTCTTTTCGCGCTTTCGTGAAGTCGGGGAGGCAAGTGAGGCGGAGTGCGCAAGAGAGAAGCGGGAAATATACGATCGGATTCGGCTCGTGTGTTTTGATGAGACTGTGACAGGTATGGGATCGTCGTTACCTCATGCAGGATGACTTGCGCAGCCGGCAGAACTTTAGCTTTGCGGTCACAACGCTTTGTTGCGCCGACAAAGCTGGCGATTGAGCTGCCTCTGTTCCGACACGGGTCAGCAAGGTTTGCGCTCTCTTGCGTGCTGGTACTCCGTCTTATCTCGGCGCAACCTGTCTGCACAATCTCATCGTGCCTGCCAGCGGAAGTATTCCGCGTCGATGCGGAACTCATTGCATCCTCAGTCATGCAAACGCGTGCATCTGAAGCTTGTCTGCGCATTCAATTCCGAATCGTGCTGCTTTCTCTGATTGACCGAGTTCGTGTGACAAAGCAGAGTGGGCCTGTTCTACGCTTCACTGCTTGCGCTTCCTGGAAGACACCGAAGGCGACTGGACGAGCGCCTCCTGCTTGGAGCCAGCGGGTGTGAGCGGCGTGCCGTTCTGGCTTGCAGCGGAGAGGCCTTTAGAGAGCGGAGTTTTGGAGACACCATTGGCTTTGACCGGAGTCGAAGACTTCTTCGACGGGGTCGCTACAGCCGAAGTGCCGTTCACTTTGACCGGCGCGTCCGTCTTCGTGACGTCCTCAGTCAGGATCTGGTTTTTGAAAAGCTCCACCAACTCGTCTGTATCAGCGAGCAAAACGTCCGAGATGCCGCGTTCGCCTGATGCAACCGCGTCTGCCTTTCGTGCCTCTGCGTCCTTCTTGTCTACGTCGTCGACTGTGGCGTCCAGATGGGCATTCGTTGTCGGTGCAGCGGCAGCCGACGGTGCCGCCATGGCAGGAGGCAGCATCTTGGACAAGAAGGCGTCAAAGAGGAGCGTTGCAGGTGGCAGAAGATGCGGGGCCGTCGAGAACAGCGAAGCGACTCCCGAGCCCACGGTGCCAGCGACAAGATTGGCGTTAGCCACGGCACTAGCCTGGTCGTCATCGTCTTGCGCTTCGTCGCGGGCATCATGGAAGGCCGATGGACCGAAGAGGTCGTCAAAGAGCGTTTTCTTGACGCTCGAAATGCCCCGAATGCTCTCTGCTGTGGCGTCCGCTCCGGCTGCGGTCGACGACGAAGGCGAAGATGAGAAGGTGACGAGATCCATCTCGGTGCTGACTGCGACAAAGTCCTGTGCCTGAGCACGCGCTCCGGCAGGCAGCGGTACGGGCGCTACAGCAGCGACCGATGTGCGGAAAATCACCCGCTGACCCGAGCCCGATGCTGCCTTGCTGGCGGCATGGGCCGACACGGCAGCCGACGATGTGGCCATTTCGCGGTCCGAGACCAGCGAGACGGTCTCCACGATGGTCTTTGCCTGTCGAGTCGCCGAGGCCTCTGAGCCAGCAGCATCGTGTGCGTCGGCAGTAGACGACACGAGCGTGAAAAGGGGTCGGTCGACTTCTTCGGCAGTGTCAGCTGAGCTAGTGGTTGGGAGGAGCAGGTTGGCCTGCTTTCCGGTCTCGAGCCCTTTGCGTGAGACTTGGCGCGAGAGGATTAGATCCCAAACGAGCACCGCCGAGCCCGCAGCGATGCCGAGGTAGCGGCCGGAGAAGGCAAGGCTTTCCACTCCGTTGGCCAACTCGGGAGCAGAGATGACCATCGACATGAGGTTGCTCTCGGGGCTCCACAGCGTGACAGAACCGACCTGGCCAACAGCAAGGATCGAGCCGTCGGCAGAGAAGGCAGTGGTAGTGGGAAGCTGCTGGCGGTAGCCGAAGACGGAGCGGCAGGCCCAATAGCTTTCGTTCTTGCCCGACTTGAGTTTGCGCGAGGCCAAGTGCCAAGTGCGCACCTTTCCATCGGTGGCGGTGGTGACGACGAGCGCGTCGATGGGCGAAAAGGTGATGGAGGTGATGCGTCGTGCGTTGTGGGGTCGGTCGATGCGGGTGTTGAGCACGTAGCGTCGGTTGATGGGATTCCACCTCCAGAACTTGAGGCTGGACTCGGCGATCACCTCGACGTCGTCGTCGCCATCGGAGAGGTTGCGACTGTCGAAGGTGACCATCCACTCGCCGGCCTCAGCCGTCTTGGCGGAAATGAAGGGGGAGAAGACGACGCGCTCGACGCGGGTGGGCTCGATCTGTTCATCTTCCACACGCGAGACGCGGTTGGAGGGGGCGACTTCGAGCTCGGCGGTGTTGGCATCCTTTATGGGGTCGTAGAATTGCAGAGACGACGGATGGCCGGCCAAGAGAACGATGTTGCGGCTTGCGGGATGCACGGCGAGCGGCACATGCGTGCTGGCTGGGAGCGAGGCGCCTGGAAGGTAGCGCGATGCGTCGATCTTGATACGGGTGAAGCTCCTGGTGGGTTTGAGCGACATGGACGAGACAAAGGTGATGCTGCCGTCGGCCAGCGAGACCGCGTACTCCTGCTCCCTTCCGTCCAGTCCGTTGGCGACGGCGATGGCCGAGAGCGGGGCGCCCAGACGCGGGACAAACTCTTTGGAGGCGGCGTTGCCCGAAGCGCCCAAGTGCCAGACGACGAGGACACCCTCTTCGCCTCCGGAGAGAAGGTGAGCTCCGTTGGGCGAGAAGCAAAGCGAGGAGACGGCATGGGCGTGCCAGTGCAAGACGGTCGAGGGTGCATGCCTTTCCATGCCGTCATCCGCCTCTGCTTTGGAAGGAGCCATGAAGTTCTTTTGAAGGCAGTACCAGACGCGAATGCGACCGGAAGCGTCGCCAGTGACAAGACGGGTCGGGTCGGTGGGGTGGAAGGCCATGCAAGTCATCGAATCGCGCTGATGCTGTGCGCCGGGATGGGAGGAGATGAAACGGGTGAAGCCCGAGGCAAGGTCGTGCGTCCTGGCGACCTGGACCTTGTCGTTTCCGACGACGACGAGCCATTCGCCGTTGGGCGAAACGCCGATGGAGACAGCCTCGCGCGTCTTGCCGATACGTGAGACTTCGGGGCGGATGGAAGCGCCACGGGCGAACTTGGGCAAGGCGGGATAGGCGTGTGCGTGGGAGGCGAGGTCGAGGCTGAAGTGAGCGATGATGCTGTTGAAAGGCGCGCCGCTCTCGAGCACAGCCAGGATCTCGGACAGGTTCTTGGGAGCAGTGTCGGCATCACGGTGGCGGAACTTCTTCAAGAGCACGTAGAGCGTGTTGGGGCTGGACTCGTGCGCGGTCATTCCCGAGATGGGAAGCTGGAGGTCGAAGGAGGAGAGCAGAATGCCGTCGAGAAAGTCCCAGACCTTGACGCAGCCGTCGAGCGATGCGGTGAGCAGCTGCAGAGGATTCGCCGGGTTGATCATGATGGCGGTGATGGCGGCAAAGTGCGATCCTGGGCCGCTGGAGAGCGTCGAGACGACCTGACCGGTGGTGCGCGAGTAGATGCGCACCGATGTTTTGGAGACTGCGAAGAAGTAGTCGGCATCGCGGGTGAAGATGACCGGCAGACGCGATACGCGGCCTTCGCTGATGGTTTGGAAGGGCGAGAAAGCGGCAGAGCGATCCTTGGAGCGGAAGATGCTCTTTTTGCTCTTGCGGCTACGGTTCTTGCCCGAGGCGGCCGCCTGGCTCGTCGAAGCGTCTTGGTTCGAGGGCTCCGCATCGACGTCCATAGCTGCAGACAGTTGCGCGCTCGGCTTTTCGGCAGCAAGAGAGGCAGGCTGCGCCTTCTTTGTGGGCGACGATGGTGCGGAGCGCGGCATGTCTTCTGCTCCTGACCTTCAGGCCTGTCTACCGGACTGATGAGATAGAGCCGAGAAGCACTGTAAGAGGGCGCCCGATCGGCTAGCCGCTTCTTGTGTGGCAAGTGTACGCCGTTTGAAGACGGCGATGGATGCTATTGAAGTGGGGCGAGGTGAGCAGCGATGAGGAGCGTGACAGTCGTGAGCACAAGTGAGGTTGCAGGTGCGGAAGCTGCGAGACAGAGCAGAGATTGCACTCTGCCGCCTGAATTCCAACCAAAAAATTCTCGCCATCTGCAAAAAAGTACAGTCGCCAAATCTCGGATTTCGGGGCCCTTTCGGCTCGCTCCAACGCCCTGCTACAGTAAAAGGGTTTCTCCCTTTTTTACGGCCTGATTTTCCGTTTCGCTCGCGAAACGGCGTGAACGACGGCTGTGGAAAGTGTCGTCACCACCGTCGGGCATTTTTACAGATGATCAAAGTCGTCGGCGAAGTCTCGGTAATGCTTGAGCGCACATGAAAGTTCAACGCCGCGGCGGGGCGGAACGGCTGGGTCCTGTGTATTGAGTTGAACGTGTCAAACAGGTATTCTGGACAACGGCGCAGCCCAGCTTCCAGGGAGTCTACAGTGTCCGCACCGCGTGTCGACGGAGTGTGCTCGCAGATGACCGGATAACTTAAACCCATTTCGCTCTCAACTGTCTGCGCCTTTCATGCCGTCGCTACTTCCACATGCATGCCGACATGAAGTCGATTGCTCGCCGTTGATGATCTCTCGATGGATTTCGTTTCACGACGGCAGCCGCATGCTTTCCTTGTGCGTGCACAGTAGGTTCAAGCCGCTCTGGCTGAGGCGGACTCCAAGATCAGCGTGCTGATCGCAAAGGAGGCTCAATCCGCGGCCATCCTGAGCGGGAACAGCCCAGAGGTGGCTTTCACCCCATGCCTGTTCCTTTCAATTGAAGCTCACAGTTTCTGAACTCTTTCTGTCTGAGTGACGATGGCGTGATGATGGCAGCCAACTGAAGCAATATTCAGCAGAGTGATCCCCACACATACAAATGCCTCGCCTTTTCTTTTCTCCAACTCCCGCCAATATCTCGAGGCTCTCATCGCTGCACACTTCACAGTCACAGCCAGGCCAAACGCGGGCATTGTCGAAGTAGGAAGGTGGTGTTTCACATGCTTGGAAGCCTCCGATACAGTGAGGATTAGGCAGCCGCGGGCGCAGACTGCCATTTTCGGCCAGTGCAGGTTCGCACGAGCAGGGCAAAGCTTGTCGCCGACGTCGGGCGCGCATTGCTCTCAATGTCAATCAATTGCCACGGTGACGCTCACTGACAGCGCCGCGGGACGACGCGTCTGCGACTCAGGCAAAGACAGAGTCAGGGGAAAATCGCAGGCTAAAATTGCAGAAAATAAAAGCCAGCGCGCGAGGGGGAATTTTTCGGCACCGGACCGATCCAAATGCCGATTTTGCCGGACACGATCAGTGGGGTCGTCCAACACCACCATATCTCGACGGGGTCTTCGTCATACGACTGCGAAAACGACGTAAAACCGCTTACAATTTGTCGTAGTACTGCTCCAAGGTAGGAATGGAATCCTTAAGACCCTTGCGCTTGCGGATAGCGAGCACGATATCCTGGGTCTTGCCGGCGTCGAGGGGCGTTCCGGGGAGGAGCTGCCAGTGGTCAAAGACGGACTGGGGGAAAGCCTGACCGGAGGTGGCCTGACGGAGATCGGCGTTGAAACCGAACGACTCGTTGACGGGGAGGTAGGCCTTGACGGTGACCATGGGGGTTCCGACACGGGGCTCCTCGGAGAAGACGTGACCACGGCGCCTGTTGAGGCACGAGTAGATACCGCCGAGGCCGGAGTCGGGGCACTGGATCTCGACGAGGTAGACGGGCTCCTGGATACCGGGCTGGGCGAGGAGGGCGGCGGCGTAGCAGACGCGACGGCAGGTGGGGATGAGCTGTCCACCACCGCGGTGGATGGCGTCGGTGTGGAGGGTGACGTCGAGGATGTTGAAGCGGGTGCCGCGCATGGGCTCCTCGGCGGTGACGCCCTCCTTGGTGGCCCACTGGAAGGCGGCGACGCACGAGTCCTTGATCTCGTTGAGGTACTGGACACCCTTGGTGGTGTCGACGAGGAGGTTGGGGCCGGTGGTCTCGGGGCCGAAGCACCAGATCTTACGGGCGTCGGTGACGTCCCAACCGTAGTCGTCGGCGAGGACACGGGCACGGGCCTTGAAGTCGTCACGGGGGGTCATCTTGCCGTCCTCGATGAGGCGCGAGAGCTCCTCGTCGATGGGCTGGGCCTTGACGTAGAGACGGTTGTGCTTGTTCTGCGACTTGGAGAGGGCGACCATGGAGGACTCGGCCTGGACGGTCTCACGGTAACCGACGACGGGGTCCGAGATCTTGAGGGGAATCTGGGCATGGTCCTCTTCGAGGTCCTTGAGGACGATCTCGAGGTGGAGCTCACCGGCACCGGCGACAATGTGCTCACCGGTCTCGGCGATCCAGGCCTGCACACAGGGGTCGGACTTGGAGAGACGCTTGAGACCCTCGACGAGCTTGGGAAGGTCGTTGGCGTTCTTGACCTCGACGGCGACCTGCACGACGGGCGAGACGGAGAACTTCATGACCTTGAGGTTGTGGGCGGTCTCGGAGCTGGTGAGGGTACCGGACTTGAGCAGGAACTGGTCGACACCGACGAGACCAAGGATGTTACCGGCGGGGCAGTCCTCGATGGGCTCGACGTAACGGCCCATCATGAGGACGGTACGCTGGATCGACTTGACGAAGAGGTCGTCCTTCTTGCCGGGGGTGTAGTTGGGGCCCTGGATGCGGATCTTGGGACCGGACTTGACGGTGCCGGAGAAGATACGGCCGAAGGCGTAGAAGCGACCCTTGTCCGAGGTGGGGACCATCTTGGAGACGTAGAGCATGAGGGGGCCCTTGGGGTCGCAGTCGCGGATGCCGATGGCGGACTCGTCGTCGAGGGGGCCCTCGTAGAGGGTCTCGACACGGTAGCGCTGGGCGGTGACGGGCGAGGGGAGGTGGATGACAATCATCTCGAGGAGGGCGTCACCGGCGGGGAGGAACTTGCGCATGGCGACCTTGAGGAGCTGCTTGCCCTCGAGGTCCTGCTCGTCCTGGGTGAGCTTGACGTCGAGCTTCTCGAGGATCTTGGGGATCTCATCCTTCTTGAAGTTCATGATGGCGTCAAAGACGCGGAAGATGGGGTCGAGGACGAACATGTTGAAGGCACGCTCGAGGGGCTTGCCGTCGGCGTCGGTGTCCTTGGTGGTCCACTTCTTGGTCTTGGGGTTGAAGAAGTTGTCGCCCCAGAGCTTGACCATCATCTTGTCCTTGTCGACACCGAACTTCTTGGCGTAGCGGTTGGCGAACTGGCGGAGGGTGAAGGCCCAGCCGTGGAGACCCGAGGCGAAGGCGACGGTGCCCTTCTCGGGGTAGACCTGGCTCTCGCCGAGGACGGGGTCGTTGTAGGTGGCGATGACGACGTTGACGGACTCGATGGTACGCATGAAGGACTGGTAGAGGTCCTCCTTGCCGACCTGGAGCTCGAGGAGCGCACGGTCGACCTTGTTGAGGCAGACGACGGGCTTGATGCGCTCGGTGAGGGCCTGGCGGAGCACGGTCTCGGTCTGGACGCAGACACCCTCGATGCAGTCGACGACGACGAGGGCACCGTCGGTGACACGGAGGGCGGCGGTGACCTCGGAGGAGAAGTCGACGTGACCGGGCGAGTCGATGAGGTTGATCAAGAACTCGTTGCCGTCCTTCTTCTGGGCGATGGCGTCGAGGGCGTCCTTATCCATGGGGAAGTACATGGAGATGGCGGTGGACTTGATGGTGATACCACGCTCCTTCTCGTCGTCACGGGTGTCCATGAAACGGGTGTCACCGGCCTTGGCACCGGCGATGATACCAGCCTTGGAGACGAGCGAGTCGGTGAGGGTCGACTTGCCGTGGTCGACGTGGGCAATAACCGACATGTTTCGGATGTTGGTGGGCCTGTCCATGAGGCCACGGATCTCGTCGACGGTGAAGCTGGGAAATGAGAATGCAAAGAATGGAGAGTCATGGTATCAGTACGTTGTTGGTTGCCAAAGAATTAGAGCGAGGAGTATAGCGGCGCTGTCTATTGTACCGAGCCGCGATTCGGGGCGAAAGCCGTGGATATGGCGTGCGTTTTCTGCAGATACTCACTTAACCATCTTGACTGAACACTAGCGTCGGTGCGCTTGGGAACGAGGGAGATGGATAGGGGGGGAAAAAGATGGTGGTGGAAGAGGATGTAGAACAGCGGGCGCTCGCCAGACAAAGACCTGAGCGGGACGAGTGCACAAGGCAGGGGCGGCCACTCTCTCTCTCTCT